TCAAGCAATTTTCCCCCTTGGGGACACCATTGCAAAACACACAGCATTAATTTTCATTTAAATTGGAGTTCAACATATGTGCGATTCAGGGCGTAAGGCCAAGCAGCTTAGAAAATAGCTCCTGTTTACTTGCATTTATTTTTTTGTTCTTTTGGGGACCCATGAGCCGACTGGAAAGAGAGGAGACTGGCTCCCTATAGCTAATATGTCAGTATATCCATATCTACATTCCTGATCATTGTACAATTATGTGTTTTAGCTCTTTTGGCCAGCAACAGGTGTGCGTTCTCAAACAAGTGGTATTGCTTTCAGCTGTAAATACAGAAGTTGTGAGATCGGCTTACGGTGCATTACGTTTTTGAGCCTCTAGATCAGGGGTATCAAATATGCGGCCCGCGGGCCGGATCAGGCCCGCACACAGTTTAAATCCGGCCCGCAAGATGATTGTGTAAACCTTATTTTCAGACTCTACACTGTAAAGTATGAAAATAAGCTTTCATTTTCCAATTAAACTGCCGATGAACGCTAAAAGATGTCAGGAATAAGGAGTCAAAGACATGCATGAAACTGATATAGCCATGTGATCTGTGAATCAGCTATTTGACTTACTGAGGAATAGTTTGGGTTTGTTGTTTTGTATTTCACATTTTCAAATACACTTCAGGTGTTTTGTTATTAATGGTGATGTTGTGCTTAAACTATTTTGGATATGCTGTCCTCAGGCTCCAGCTTTGTTTCGTGTTGATCGTATTAAAACAAAGAAAACAATCTGAAGCAGTTTTTAATTTATGCATACTTAAATTTTACTGGCCTGGCCCACTTGGGACTAGATTTTCCTCAATGTGGCCCCTGAGCAAAACTGAGTTTGACACGGTGCCGTCAGATAAAAAAAACTTTAAATTTCAGCTTCAAGGTGGATTTTATCTGATTTTGGTGTTCATAACTGGTAGAAAATAAGTATTGTGACAACAGGATAGGATGAGTGAGAAAAATATGCGCTCATTACAGCTGATATCATCGTAGAAACTGTTTCACAACTGAATCTTTGCATTTGACACAATGTTTATTTTTATTTATTTGGCAGAAGCTTTTATCCAAAGCGACTTACAATTTATAACCTATAGGGCATGTTGTGATCTGTGGGGGAAACCGGAGTACCCAGAGGAAACCCACACATGCATGGGGAGAACACGCAACTCCACCCAGAAAGGCCGCAGCCGAGTTTCGAACCTGCAACCTTCGTGCTGCGAGGCAACAGTGCTAACAACTGCACCAGCCAATGTGGCGCCATTGTCAGATAAGCAAGAATCTAAATGATGCTTCTCATCTGCAGCAGGTTCCATGTTATTTCTCTCTCTCTCTTACACACACACACACACACACACACACACACACACACACACACACACACACACACACACACACACACACACACACACACACACACACACACACACACACACACAGACTTTTACCTCTGAGATCCTGCATGTGGATTTCAGAGCACATGTTTTCACATCTTAAAATTTAAGGAGCAAAATTAAAAGTACATCTTTGTGTAACGCAAATGAGTTTTCCATCTAAATAAATGACACCTTTTTAAAAATCAAACATGCAAATAAGCAAAGATTTTGTAGTGAGAACAGAAAGTTATTTATTTTTTGCCGACTTTCACTGATCTCTTATAATATTTATTTTCTCACAGTAAAGGTGCACATGTGTTTACCATCATTTGGTCTGTGTATAACTCCGCTCTGCAAGCTGAGTGGGTTTGATTTATATCTCTGTAACTCTCCAAGCTCGCTTACTTTGTGGCAGAACAAATGACACCTTAATTATCGTCACTGAAACATAAATTCCAGTTTCTCTCATTAAACTCCTATAACTCCATCCAACTGCTGCTCAAGTGGAGGTTTAACCAGCCAAGTTAAGTGAAGACACCTGTGAAAGTTTGCAGGTATTGCAAACCAATTACATGGTTTACGGTTGCAGAGACGTGACGTCAAACAAGGCACTGAGCTTTAAACCTTTACTTCTATTTGGAAAGCAAAAGGGTTATGGTTTTGTTTACTCCTAAAAGAAAGACACATTTTACACGCAGAGGTTTTGCATGTATGGAAAGCAAAAAGAGCTAACCGGCTAACGCAGGGTTGGATAAGGTACAAGATGACATCAGCAGTAATGTAAACACACTGGTCAGCTGTTCATAGGAGGGGGTGGTGGGAGGAAACTGGGGGGGGGGGGTTAATCAGCATGTGTCACACTTTCTCAACTCTGGAAATGCCAAACAAAACACTGTGTGAACTCTGAATGCACTTTCACAAACATACCTTTAAAATCTCATTTCTTTTTTTTTCCAATCAATAGTTTGAAAAACAGACAAAGAGGGAGTGTTTGGCGGGGTAGAGAAAGAAAAAACTTCCAAAGAAGAGGAAGGAGTGAGGATAAAATGTGTTTGAGTAAATCAGGAGATAACTGAGCAGAGATAAAGCAGCAGTTTCACTGGTTCAGTAAAGATTCCAGCGGTGTGTGTCAGCACGAGTCCGTTTGGTATGAAGATAAGAGTTAAAGTTACACTCAGACCAGTGTTGGCTCGAGGGGGCACAACGAATATGTGAGTCGTCTGATCATAAATCAAACTGTACTTTCATAGAAAGGAGCTCTGATAGAAAATACATAAAAGTTACAGGAGTTGAACTGAGTCATTTTGTGTTTTATTTACAGTTTATCTTTCAATAAACACCAGTTGAAATAAATGTAAGTCTTTTCGTCCCATATCATGTATCTCCTCTGCTATGTCGGAACAGTTGCTCAGCGGGGCTGTTGACAGGTGGGTCTTCTGTCTTATATAGCTGCTGGCTAAAATAACATTTACAGCATTTTAACATTGTATTGAGCCATCAGGGTTACTGCAGACCGCCTCGACAGAGTTAATGATCCCTAAAGGTGCATGTCACGGTTAAAAATGCTGTTTTCATACACAAAGAAGGAAGTGAGGACTGAACATGTGCAGAAAAAAAGTGTCACTTTCAGTTCATTTCTGTGGTTCTGTGTGCAGAAACTTGAGTTTGATGCTGTTTTCTTTAAATAATCTTCATTTTATTTTGTATTTGTGGCTCTTCCATAGTTGTTGTCAGTAGTTCGGTAAACAAAAACTATTTTAATTGTTGTTCAGTCACACATTTTAGTGTGTTTTCATTAGCGTAGTGCTTTTCTTTCTCTTCTTTCCCATCTGTTCCTACATCAGTTCTCATTTACTTTCTTTTTCCAAGACACAGTCACACAAAGCAGCTGCTTACACCCACATATGACACACACACACACACACACACACACACACACACACACATTGAATTTATAGCTTGTTAAGAAAAAACTGGATTGTATTTCAGCTCTGCTTGTAAAGAGTCAGAACCGATGTCAATCTGGCTCCTTCTTATATTATGTAACACACACACACACACACACACACACACGCGCGCGCGCACACACACACACAAGCTATAAAATTATACAATGAGCTGGAACAGGCCTTCAAGCCACTGACTTGACTCCTGGCAGCGTTCCTTAAATCCAGACGTGCTCTTTTCTCAGTATTCACACATAAATGTTCTTATTTTTATTTTATGAACAACAATGAAGTTAAAGATTTAACAACAACTGATATGGTGCTGCTTAATTATATTTTTGGTTGAACCATTTAGTTTGATTATTATGCAGCCTTTTACCCAATAAGGCTTTAGAAACTTTGTTTTTTGTGTATTTGTCATTTATTACTAGTCGTGAAATCTTCAATCAAGAGATATTTTTATAAAATTATACATTAGCTTTAAAAGCATCATTTGATATAAATAGGAGCATTCAGTTTTACAATTAATGTCTTTGGATTTGTTAAAGTTTGTTTTATCATTTATTTTCTTGATTTTACCATCATGGCTCCTTTTTCCTGTTTCCTTTTGGTAAATTTGGTTCTCATGAGTTTTTGGTTGAGTTTATATATTAAGTTTTGGTCACATCAAGTTTCAATGGCAGTTTATTTTGTGATCAGTCCCTCAAAATTAATAAATGAATTATTCAGTTTCTGTTTCAGAAAATTTCCTTTAGTGTTGCATCAGGAGGGAAAAAAACATTTGGGATTCATCATCCTTTGGGGTTTTTTTCTCCGACAAGCCTTCTTTTCATCACAGTTTAATTTCCTATAAGCCTTAGATTCAGGAATGCTGCATTTTTCCTTTTTCTAATCTTCTGGAAAAACAGCAAGAAGCCTAACCTGAACCTGTCAAAGATATGTGCGTGTTACCAGAAGAAAGTTGAGATTTTAGACAGAAATTAAATGTGTTTTCAAGTGGAGTAAAACATTCTCTCTCTCTCTCTCTCTCTCTCTCTCTCTCTCTCTCTCTCTCTCTCTCTCTCTCTCTCTCTCTCTCTCTCTCTCTCACACACACACACACACACACACACACACACACACACACACACACACACACACACACACACACACACACACATGGGCCGGTCACTTACGGAATGACAAACAACAGCCTTCAAAGGAAAGCCCTTGCGTAACCATGAGTCTGTTTACGAGGATCCAAACTGAAGTTGGATGACGTGTGTTTCTTCAGAGGTTGTTCCAGCCTTGATAAGTTGTGCTTTCATGCCTTTCAAAATCGCTCCCATCTCAAACCTTCTCTGCTGATGTTCATCAGCTCAGTGCAGCATGCTTGTTGAACTCAACACAAAAATCAAGCTCAAAGAGAAAAACAACAACAAACAAAAGCTGTTTTGTCCTAAAAAGAGTCGACAGTCTGCTGATTGTAGATCTGGTTTCTGGCTAAATCTATGGTGTACTGACAAGAATTTAAAAACAAAATCTCTCCACAAGGTTTGTGCACCGTATTTCAGTTATATTCTTCTTCACTGCAAGGTGGTGGTGCAGGGTTACGCATGTCTGGGAAACACACACACAGACACATACACACACTTAGCATCAACACGCCATATCTTATTCCAAAAGTTCTTTATTACAGATCTGATCGAACACATCCTGCTCTGAGAGACATCTTCATTTTTCCTGTTGCCGTACTTTGACACACAGCGATGCTTCACACACGTTGGTTTGGTTTCTCTCAGCTGGTGTCCCACCTGAGTGAGCTCAGGTGCAGATCAGGAGCTAACAACCTCAGTCTCTATTTGTTTTCTTTTGGCTTTCGGTTTAAACTCACAGAGCTTTCTGGAAAAGAGGAGTGGAAGGGTAAACAAAGAAAACATCTTTGCTTACAAAAAGCAAAGGCCGGATTTGTTTTGCAGCTTGACTCAGACCTGATTAAACGATTGTTTGCTCATCTTTACCTTATGTTGAATAAACACCGGCTTTCAGATGCTTTTAATATGAGTCATTTATCTAGAAACACTGTTACATTAATGGAGGCTTGATCCAGCGTCAAATTAATCCAAGTAAACAAAGTCCATCCTGATCAGGAATTCTAAGCACGAATATTACTGATTTATTTTTAACGAAACATAAACGTTCATCAGCACGCCTCCTCTCTGTCTTCACTTACAGAGTCCATCTGTTCCACATTAAAAAACCATAAATCTCTCATCCAAGTCCAACCAGCTGAGAGAAGGATACAACCCTGTGTGGTTCATAATAAAGTCGAATAAACTGCAGCTGGAGGTAAAACATCAGTGAGGCTTTTTGTTTTGACATAAAGCACCCTTCAGACCAGAGAGGCTGCTGTACAGATAAAGTTAGACAGGATTAAAGCTCACAAATGAGTCTGTTAATGCAAGCCAAACACTAGAGGGAAAGTCAAGAAATGATTGATTTATCTTCAAACTTGTTTTAACATTCTGGGCGGCATGAAAAGCAAATATTTAAATCGTTTTTAGTCATTAAAGGTTTATTTTAGTATGTTTCTGTGTAAAAATTATAAATATTTACATTGTGCACATTATGGATGGCTTTCCAAACAGAACCCATGAAATTGAGATTGATAAGCTCATGGCTAGTCAGTTCAAAGCAAGTAATGCAATGTTGTTTATTTAATTTAATTAAAGGTGGCATAGACTTGCTACTGTGGTCTCAATGTTTCCGTTTCAGGAAGTAGAAGTTAGTCAGAGCAGTGGGAGTGGGAAACGGCAGGATTTCAATCCCTACTCATTGATATTCATGATATACGACCATCTCGTCACTAATTCGCTAACAGCATTGCAACTCTTCAGCTTCCTCCATTCGCTCTACTTGGGTGAAACATTGCATTGTTGATGTTTTATCTCACCAAATGAAAACCTGAACCTGTTCTGTCATTTGGTGAGATTGCTAATGCTAATAGTTAGCTTCTAATAGCTGAGACATGTTCTGCTCTGTCCTGGCCAGAAAATAAACACTTCCGTGGTCGCAAGACAAGGTGAGTGAGTTCATGGATGCTAACTAGCTGCCATTAGTTTGGCATCTTTCAGGTGGAAATGGCACAAAAATTTAGCGCACTGGAGAAAGGTGCGGAACTCTGAAAAAACATTTTTTAATGATTATTTCTGATTGTAATCAGTCACTCTGGGTTTTCCATGCAGGTTGAATAGTCTCCTACACCTATCTCCTGCATTAGCTTCTGATTAGAGATTTGAAAAGCCCTACAGATCTACATCAAGCCATCACTTGGACTCACTCATCTTGGCTCGTGACAGGGGAAGGCTATTGTTGTCCTGGATGCAGCATTGAACGTCTCAGCTAGCAAAAGCTAACCATTAGCATTAGCATCTCAACCACATGGCAGAAACTACTCCAGGCTTGTGTTATTTGCAGAGATCAAACATCCCTGTCGCAGAGCTGAGTCAGCACGTTGCTGTTATCCAATCCAAGGCAAGATGTCCAAATATCAGGAAGTAAGACTCCAAATCCTGCTGCCACTCTCTGCTGCAGCAGACTTGTCCATGTTGATCCAGGCGCTTCTGCAATTGTATTAATTAAACGAGTGTTCAGCACCTTTAATAATAAACCATGCATTCATAAAGGATCTGTAAGTAATAATTTGACACAGGAAATGCCAGCTAGCATAAAAGTGTGTGACCTTCAGCCTACTTAACTCCACAATGAGCAAAGACGATAGACAAACAGCACAACAAATAACCTATTATGCCTTTCCCTGCTGAAAGACACAAAGCTTTTGCTATGAAGAGCGAAACACGGAGACAGTGAAGCCATTGAGTCGGAGCAGAAACATCTTCAAGGAGGAAGCGGCTCCAGTCCTCAAACTCAGAATAACCCAGCAGAGTTTAGACGTTTGAAACATTGAGATCATGAAACTGTGAATATCAAACTCTGTGTTCATTTTTTCTTCTGTGGCTGTTTAGCTTTTTATCAACCTCAACAAAGCAGAAAAACAGACTTTTTATTGTCTATTCGTGTTATTAGCTGTGTAATAATGTGATTTCACTCACTAAAGAACTTTTCATCCTTTTCTGCTTTGGGGTTTTTAAAACAAAGAGTTGTTAATTATACAGATATAAGCAAGGTTTACTGTTTAGTTGCTTAGTTTCTGCTTTATAACACTGAACCCACATCTATTTGAGAAAGGATAGTCGGCCAAATTAAATACTAGACAAATGGACAATAATTAATTTCTTTTTCACACAGAGAAACAGGAGAGTCCTTCTTAGGTTTACTTAGCTGATCTCATGATCTTAATTGCTCGTGTTTAGGATTGTTTTAGTGTTTCAAAGGGTACGTCAAAATCTGCATCCAGTGCGGGGCTGAGCTGCCGCAAAAACAGTCTTCAAATTTAAATATCTGATTTCTTTTCTCACCTGAACAACAGCACACTGTAGAGCAACGTGAGGCAAACACAAGAGGATTTATAATTAACCAACCCACACTGGAACTGCTCCAGGATGATAAATCACCTCAAACTGGGAGTAGACACACAACCTGCTATCGTAGACCTAAGCACACAAGTGTGCAGAAACCCGTTCAGATCTAAGTTAAAACACATATTTTTACCCAACATGTACTTTCTTATCAAGGTTTAACTCTCTCCAGCTCAAAATAAGTTTTGATAAAAGGACAAACAACTAAGTCCTTCAGGGGTACTTCTGAGTAGAAAAATGCCCGTGAAATACCTGTGTGGAGTAACCAGGTAGGCAGGTTTTAACGTTGCAAATCTGCAACGCCTGCCTCCAGAGGGTTCAATTATACGTCTGAATTAACCACATATTGTTTTGCTAAGACCTCAAATTAAGTCAACATGATTCAGTCAGTAGTCTTTAGTAGGAATAACAATCGTCCCGCTTATGTGGTTCTGAAATGATCTACCGGACTTTAAATAGTGATCGTGTCTGGGTCGTAAAATCTTAAATGACATAGTTTTGTCTGAGGGTAGTGCTCTTTCATTCTGCAGCTATAGTTAGACCCCGTTTAGAAAGCTGTGGTTGCTTTGGGTCACTGATAATAATGATTATATCCCACTGAGATTCCAGTTTTGCTCAAAGCGGCGTCACAAGGCAGGATGAATTCACAACAGGGAATTTCACCAGCACTCCAGATTGGAAACAGTTAGTAGTTCCTTGTTTTTATGAAAGCTTTCACATCTTCTGCTGGTCCCATAATAGTTCTGGTTCATACCAGTGTAATGCAGTAGAGACAAGAGCTCGGTGCAGAGAGCTGGGACCAGAGGTGGCAAATCTCACCAGCAATAAAATATATTTTACATTTTTGCAAATTGTATTAGTTTTCTTCCACAATCCCAGTCGTTTATGAAGCTCCTTTAAAAAAAAGGCAGACAGGGTGCAGATCCAAACCCGTCCTTGTTCTGCCTCAGGCCACACAGCAGTACCGCTTCCACCAGGACTTAGAGAGGCTCTTCATCTTGTCCGGCGTCTGCCTTTGCTTTTTGCGACGTTTTTGTTTCCCTCTCGAGTGCTTACGGGAGCCGTGGTGCTGCATGCTGGCCAGTATGGCCGTGTCAAACACCTCCTTCAGGTTCTTTTGGGTCAGAGAGGAGCACTCCATGTAGGCCACAGCCCCGATCTCCATCGCACAGTGCCGAGCATCTGCTGGCTCCACGGGCCGCTCTCGGTATTTAGCCAGGTCGATAAGAACCTAAAGGATGATGATGTTAATTACTCTAAAAGTCCTTCAGTTCCAACTTATTTACTTTCTGTTTGATTTGTGGATTTTGTTCTATATTCAACTTTATGTCTCTGTTATACCACCAACACCTTTCAATGAACTCTGGGGAATAAACTCACTTTGAAATGCAATACATCTGGTAAAAATAACAAAACTTGTGTTATTTTAGCTGAGGTGAAAGGCCTATAGATCCAGGGAGAATAATACAAATACAGTAACTTTATGTGGAAGTCTCTAGTGAGAACATCAGAGGGTTAACAAATGGTAACAAGTTTGGCTTCAAATTTTACATTTAACATCATTAATCACTTTAAATTAAAACTAAATGGTAATTATAAATTCAGCTACCTCTGGTGAAAATTCATACGTGTAAATAATAAAATAATGGGTTTTAATTAGTTAATGAAAGAATGAGAATAGTTGACAAATGCAAACTGCCACAGATGTAATTTTGACATAAACTTTTCTATAATGTTACCTGGTCTACATGTTCCGCAATGAATGGCAAGTCTGCAGAAGAAGACCTCTGTGACGTTGATATAAGAAGTCAAAAACAGCCAATTGCAAACGTGTTTATGCAGGTAAATTGTAAAAAATTTAAAAACAATTATAAGGGAAGATAATATTCAGGCTGTCAACCACAAATTTAAAGCTGCACTTGCGTGCATCTGCAAACAAAACTTCTGATATAAAGCAACAAATTGGTAAGTGTACTGAAAAACGTGGCTACTGAGCTCAAAGAAGTGTGCTTGTTATTTAATTTCAAATCAGGCTTTTGCAGGCTCTTTCTTTTCTATAGTGGCATGAAATGATCAGAATAAGAAATAAGAGACACCTATTTTTACCATCTCTCAAAAAAAGGCTGGACTCTTTAAAATCAGGAAAAACAAATTATAACGTTTCTTCACTGAGTTCATGTTCACGGTTCACACTTTGACACATTTTGGGTTCTTTCTCTTTAGGCAGAATCAAAAAGCACAAACTAAATAACTTGTAAAAGAAAGATATGCAGATCCTTCACAGACTTGCAGAAAGTTAAAAGTAAAAAACAAGTAACACTTTGAAATAAATCAATTAACCAATTAACGTGTTATTGTTCTATTTATTAATGTCATTGCCTATTTTGTTGCTGTTACTTGATTTGTTTTAATTGTAAGGTGACCTTGAAGTGTGCCTATAATTAAAATGCATTATTATTATTATTATTATTATTATTATTATTATTATAACCAAAGTATTTGTTTGCATGGAAAAGTCCTCATTCATCAAGTTGTTGGTGGTTTATGACTTAAATGTCATCAAAAGAACTTTTTCATGTTTCTACAACTTATTTTGATGCCTTAAAATCCAGTCATTTCTGTCTATAGAGCAAATAACTTGAAATATGTTGCTTTTTTATTCTCTGGTAGATTTGGAGAAAGATCTCTCTGTATTTTATTAAGTTACATTAATTAACAAAGCCATTAGCTAAAATGAAATGACAAAAAACATATCAGGCTGCAGACCTAAAGTGCTGTTTAGGTGAAAGACAAAACTTCCAAACCTTGACATCCTCTCGGAGGTCACACTGCGTCCCCACGAGGACGAGAGGGGCAAAGGGGGCGTGTTTCCGAATCTCTGGGATCCACTTTTCTGGAACATTCTGGAAGGAGGCTGGACTGACGACGCTGAAGCACAGCATGAACACGTCTGCGCTGGTGTAACACAGAGGACGCAGCTTGTCAAACTCATCCTGGACGACACCAAGAGGGAGAGTCGCTGTTAGTTTTAATGTTACTGAAAAAAACAAGCAAACGTGTGCTTCAGGACATTCCTAACACATCATGTTTGTTTCAGTGGAAAACTGTGACAGTTGTTTTTTCTGAGCAGCGGTAGCTTGTCTCATGGATTTTCTACTGTTATATTTTCAGCCAACGATCCTCTGCTGCAGCTGTGAACCCAATGACATCACTTCCTGTGTACAGCCAAGGAAAGACGTTTCAGACACACAATTTCCCAAACAATGACTGAAGCCACAGGGAGCTTCCCGAGGAAAAAAAAATATTCACAAGTAAAATCGACCCTTATTAGTAACACTCTTAGTGGCAACAGTTGTAGTCAAGTTTTTGTGATAACTGGTAATGAGTCCTTCGATTTTCTGGCCCGGAAGTGGTGAGGGAGCCCCATACCATGACACTATTGCCACCATGTTAGAAATTTTGACATATATTTACTGTTAAGGATGTAAGAAGATACAAACTGACCCCCTCTGACCAGTATCTACATTCACTTTTATAAAGTAGCTGCTTCTCTAATTATTGATTCCCTATATTATTATCATTTCATTGTGTTTATTTCTTGATTCTAACTTTGCTTTTCATTATTTTTTCTTGCACTAAGTACCGCAGCAATTTCCTAATGTTGTGATTCTCGCACAAATGGCAATAAGATTCTGATTCTGAGCTATTGATGCAGAAAAATATGATGATATTTCGTGTTAAGATACTGAATCAATATTTAAAGGCAGTGTATTGATATATTTTTGAGAATGTACATGTATTTATTACTATAGATCTTTAGTGTGGTGCATTTAAAACTCCAACTGCTAGGTGGAAGCAGTTTTTCATTCCGATGGAATGATGAGGTCTCACGACAGGGAGCCAACTGTTTCTTAATGCCAAGGAACCTTACCTTGATGTCTTGGCCCCGCCCCGGTTGCCTAGGAGATATGTCATCAAGAACCGCCAAGGCGTGTTTCAGTGTTCGTGTTCTACCGAGGCGTGTGTTCTCCGTTTGTTAGCCGTTTAGCTAGCTGAGCAAGGATACACGGGAGGTGTCTTGTAGCCTAGCCTTGGTCAAAAATTTTCCAGAATACACCACAGTATTTTCAAAAGGATGGCGGCTCAGAAGCTGGCAGCTACTTCGGGGGCAAATTTCAAGTTTAATTGTAAGTCAACTAATTTAAAATGTTTTTTTTTAGATCCAAAGAAGTTTTCTTAGGTTGATTAGTTCCAGGTTCGGTGGCTAGTAGGTATTAACTCACATACATATTTAATTTAACAAATATATACACAATTTAAAATGCAAAAGGCTTGTCATTTATTTATATCGAAACTTACACATTCCTATAAAATATAACGTTATCTCCCGTGTCATGTGACGTTATGTGACTGGCTGCTGTGGAGGCCGTGGCCATGTGAGGCAAGTCTGTTTAATTTAAACATTTTCTTTGACCAAGGAAGGACAGTGTCCTCGTAAGCAAGGCACCTGGCCTCGCAAGACATCGCCTTGCGAGGCCAGGCGCCTTGACATTGAGAAATACCCGTCAGCTCCCCTTCCAGTCGGCTCATGTGTCCCCAGAATGAAGAAAACTCTATGCAAGTCAACAGTGCTAAAAGAGCTATTTTCTAATCTGCTTTGTCTTACGTCCTGAATCATACACATGTTGTACCTCAATTTAAAGATGTGGGACACTGAAAAACAATTATTTAGTCATTGTTTCTGATTATTCCAGTCACTGGGTTTTTCGTGCAGGCTGAACATGAAAATAGCCTACAACAGCTATCTCCTGCATTAGCTTCCAATAGAAAACAGACGGTGAAACTCTAGAATTTGAAAAGCCAGACAGATCTATGTGACACTGTCAGCTGTCGTAGACCCACCCATCTTGACTCACGACAGGAAAGGCTGTTGTTGGTTTAGCGTCCTGTAAACAGCAGAGAATGTCTTGACTAGTAGAAGCTAACCGTTAGCATTAGCAACTTAACCACATGGCAGAAGCTCATCCAGGCTTGTGTTATTTGTGGAGATAGAATGTCCGCGTAGCAAGTCAGCGATAGAGTAGCATTGCTGTTATACAATCCGAGTTGAGATATCGAAATATCAAGACTCCAAAACCTGCTGTGTGAAGCTCAGCGGTGATATGAGTCACTGCTATCGCTAACCCTATACACCACACAAGATAGGATCGTGTTCTATTTTTGCCACGAGTCGCTTTTTGGACACGTCAATTTCCACATAGGGGCTAGACAGGAAATCTCAAATGGTTTCAGTGTAAAACCCCCAGTGATTTTCTAAATAATAGACTATTGCAGCTATGCAATTTCATATCAATACAAGGAACCTAATGGCTTATTTACTCCCAACACCATTACAGAAATGCAGCAGTGTATTATTCATGGCTTCAATCCTGGTAGTGGAGAGGAACAACATTTGGCATATGACATCAAACGTGATTTCCTTTGATGTTTAAAGGAGAGGTAGTTTTGGCTTGCTTTTATCACCCCTTCGTGTCCGTTTGTAGATGAGCAAAACTTATCTCCTCGCTGTGTGTTCGTCATTTTAACACCTTAATCTAACAGCTGAAATGTCTCCCCAGCCTTCCTTAGTGTCTACAGGAGTGATTCATCACTAAATTAAACAAATAAGCTGAGTTCATGATCTAAAACATGCAGGAAACGTGCTGGAAGCAGACTGCAGCGCCAGGTATGTCAGTTCCATTTTTTCTAAGTCCCAACAGAGTGCCCGGCAACTCTGAAGTTGCAAATGGAATATTCTGGCCACAGGGGCTGGGTGGCCTTTCATTAATCCTGTAAAGGGTCATTTTTGCACATACTGACGTCTCGAGGGATCTTGTGATCCCGTGAGCCCAGTGAGGAACACGGCAGAGATGAAATCTCCGCGACTGTGATTTGCACTGGCATGCAGCAAAACTCACGAGTAAATCATCCCGCCGCTGTTCCATGATGCTGATGCTTCCAGTGTGAAGTAGGGTATAACACGGATGTGTCTTAGAAGCATCTGGCTTTTAGTATCACAATATATCATGTTGTCTTCCCTGTATTGTGATATATATATATATATATATATATATATATATGTGTGTGTGTGTCAATCATTCCTTTATATGCTTGCCAATACACACCCCTACTGATATGAAACATTTAAGATTGACTAAAAAAAAGGCAAACAGAAGCAATCTGTAAATAAAACACTTTATAACCCAGTTATTGTTCAGCAAAAAGAAAATATATAAGTTGTTTTTGGTGGTCATACTAGTCCCTATAGGACAGCAGCTGACTGAAAAGCTTAGAGGAAACCCAGGCAGGAAGCTTTGATGCATTTCAAACATTCCCATCAGCCGTGTCATACAAATCCTGACTGACTTTCCACTGTCAATTCCCAAATATATAGATAAATAAATAAAAAGGAAAAGTAATGACATGAAAACTAACTAACAAAAAATAAAATACATGTGAGCTTAGTGACTGACCTGTCCAGCTGTGTCACAGAGTTGTAGTGTGACTGGCTGCCCATCCACTGATACCTTCGCTGCAAGCAAACACAAACAGACACCTGTTGGTGTAACGCCCCATAACCTGAGAGGCTTTAGATAAGGAAACTGACCATATTTACTTGTTTATTGAAGATGTTTCACCTCTCATTGGAAAGTCTTTAGAAATTAAATGACCAGTGTGGTAAAAGCTCAGGACAATCCAGACTTTTCTCATGCATTGTTCCACAAATGTGGAATGACCTTCCAAGCACTACCAGAACTGCGGCTTCCTTTTCAATTTTCAAGAAACTCCTGAAGACCCTGCTCTTTCTGAGAGCATCTTCTTAACTAGCACCTTCCCTGCACCCGTCCCCCCTCTCTACTGTCCACTCCTTGTTCCCTACTCTCCATGATTGATGTCAATGTTGTTATTGTTGTTGTTAGCCTCAAGGGCCGATTATCACTTGTAAGTCGCTTTGGACAAAAGTGTCTGCTAAATACATAAACATAAAAGAAAATGTATATATGGTCAAATTATGGAACATCAGATAAATCAGAGTCCCTCTCAACTTCTGTCTGCGTTTTTTGCTCACTGTAAGGAGGCAGAGAAAGCATTCAGTACAATTCAGTTTTAACAAAGAATTATTTGTCTGTCATACTTCACATGTTTATAAAAACCCGGTAAATATTTGTTTTGATTCCTTCAAAGATGTTATGGAAGTCTATTTCTGCCACTCTGGTAAAAACAACACAAATAACTCACAATTATGAGATATTTTCTCATAATTTAATATCTCCTATCATTGAAGAGATAATGCACGTGAGACATGTGCTTATATTTTTATTTACATAAAATTCACATTTTTTTCATCTAAGTGGCAGAAATGGGCTTCCATAGCCGTGACTTGGTTACCACCTGTTATTATTAGAAAATGCTATTCTAATAAAGTGCTGATGAATGATACTTTTATGAAATAATATATATTTACCTGAGAAGTTGTCAAAGGCGGTGGGAACGTACTCGGTGGGGTATCCATTGGTGGTGTAGCTGACCACCAGGCTTGTTTTCCCCACAGCTCCGTCCCCCACCAGCACGCACTTCACCCGCCTCTCTGGTGCCACAGACCGCCGCGTCCTTCCTCCGTCCCGACTCCGGACCCTCCGCGGCGGGACGGGCGGAGGAGGGGACAGCGGAGCCGCCTTGAAGCCCCCGTTGCCACGCGAAGGCACCTGGCAGGGAGAGGAGGGCGACATGGAGGAAGAGGAGGCGGATAGTTCAGGCAGTTTGGTCCGCTGTCACAGCGTCCATTCCTCCGTCTCTTCCCGTCCGCGGAGCCCTGCTGACACTAGGCTGTTGCTGCTACTTGTTTTCATTTGGTCTCCATGGAGGGTGAAGATCTACAGTTTCTCCTCACAGTCAAATAAAAAAAGTTAAACTGAGCCCCTTCAAACCTCAGCTTTCAGTTACTCATCAAGAAGTTTGGAATGAAAGTGCTGCTGATTTAATTTGAACTGGTCAACAATCTGTGTCCGTCCCAAAACTCCCCTTCCGTGACATCACCGTGTGTGTGTGTGTGTGTGTGTGTGTGTGTGTGTGTGTGTGTGTGTGTGTGTGTGTGTGTGTGTGTGTGTGTGTGTGTGTGTGTGTGTGTGTGTGTGTGTGTGTGAGTGTGTGAGTGTGAGATGTTTGAAGCAGCCTAGATCAGTATATCAGTAATATACAGAATGACACTGAATTTCCAAAAGATTTTAAAATTTATTTGTGAAAAGACTTTTCCTCTGGTGATCAGATTATTTTACTTTTTTGTTTACATAATTTAACTTTAGGGCCTTAAAATAAAATGTATATATGATAATGCGCATTTTACTCAAGCCTACATTACATTCGCTATTTCTTGAATGATTATACCCCACAGGGTACTCTGAAATGCGCTGATGAAATTATGTATTCTGACAAAATATAAATGAGTTTTGGTCACTGTTAAAGTTCAGTACTTGTGTTGTTGAGGTACTTTCCACTGCTGCTGTTATCCAGCTGTGCTGCTGTTTTCCAGCTGTGTTACGGGTCTCCAGAGTGATAAAGTGGGCGTTAAATCTGTCAGTCTCAGATTGTAAAGCGTTTGCGCCATCTAGTGGACAAACATAAACATTTCAGTCCAAAGTTATAACCTTTATTTAAATTATGGGTTCAACGTTTTGACAAAAGCTGGTATACATGTTTTAAAATTCAACTGTATACATTGGAATAAGTTTTCACACAGTAAACAGATTATTAATTTAGCTGTAATCTTTTTACCAAACACGGAACTAATAGTGTCTCTCGTGTTTTCACACGGACGATTCTCGTAGCTGAACCAACATGTGTTGGTTGTGTGACAACTGAAGAACAATCACGAGAATGTGTTCTCTGTTGTTGGTAAATTGGTATTTTCAATAGATTTGATGTTAATACGCTAACATGTCCTCGGTGGAGGTAGTTTTGGGGTTCCTTGAGGAGGCGGAGCCGTGGCGGCTTCGCTCCTCGCAGTTCCCCAGCAAGGTGGGAGGGAAGCCGGCGTGGCTCAGCCAGAGAGGCCTGCCCTCCGGCTCCGAGCTGGAGTGTGAAGTCTGCCGGTTACCGATGGTCTTCTTACTGCAGGTTGGTACCTCAAAGAATCGTGAAGGTCTGTGGAACTGCTTCAGACATTTTCAGATATTAAGTTTTATACTTTTTGTTTTTGGAACAAGAACAAAAAATCAAGAGAGCCAGAATTCATTCGTTAGAAAAAAATAACTAGAAACTATTGCTTTGTCCCCCATTTTTTATAGCGGAACTTTTTTTTTATCATGCACAAAGAACAATATCCAAATCAGTTAACAATTCGTAAAGGGGAATTTAATATTACATTTTAGGGTTATTTAAATAACAGATTAAATCTGTGACCTGAGGTTTTCAGAATGACGTCATTTGACTGAAGTTGAAACCTCTGAGAATTTGTTTTTATCCATCCATCCATCTTGTCTGGATGGTCTGAACCCGCCTTGTCTACGCAGGGTTGCGGGGGGTATCTCCAGCGGTTGAATTTGTTTTTATATAATTAAAATCGTTGGCTGCCCAAAAGTGAACTCCTCAGCTCAAAAATATGGTTTAAATAAATTTTTTGCAACCTTTGTTTTTTTCTCCTTCCAAAATGATAAACTTCTTTCATGTTAATCCAGTTCTGACAGATTTAGGCTGTTAATAGCCTAAATATCTATATCTGTTGAAACTGACCAACAGTCATGTAAAACTATACCTGGCTGTGTGCAGGTGTATGCTCCATTATCAGGTCAGGACAGAAGTTTTCACCGAACCCTTTTCCTTTTCTGCTGTAAAACTCCAGAATGCTACTCCCGCAACGACAGCCGCTGCATGAAAGGTGCGTGTTTCCATCACTTTCACCATTGTGCTTTTTATCACATCACAGCCAGGGTAAAACATTGTTTGTTGTGCCAGTTTTTAGAAGTCAGCTCTCCAGGAAGAATGAGTTCTATCCCTATGAACCTCCCCCAGGTTTGTCCTTAAATAATATTTCTCTGTAAACATGAATGGTGTTCTAAAATAAAACATATTTAATATGTGATTCATCTGAATAGATGACAAAATTTAACATATGTTTTAGTATTTATATATTAATCATGTTAAAAAAGGATCACTGTTTCTGTTCTATGTTTTACACATTAAGTGTTTTCTTCTTTTTGGTATTATATTCAGAGGACGAACCAGAAAACAGTTCAGAGGAGAATCATGATGTGTTTACCATCTCTGGAGTTAAACTGTGTTGGGTGTGTGGTTGCCCTGGCAACAAGGCCTGCTCCCGCTGTCATGGTGTAACCTATTGCGGAAAACACCACCAGACCCTCCACTGGAAACAGTCTCACAGGAGGGAGTGCTGTAAGCCAGGTACAGCTTGATGGTGGCTAGAGTTCAGCTCAGCGTCAGCAGATTTATCAGAAATAATTTTATCTGCTGCTCTGTGTTTCTGCGAGGGTAGAGACATCCGCAGACACAACCTCTCCTCTTCTGTTTTCTGAATCTGAGCTCGTCACAGAGCCTGAGGAGGACAGCAAAGAGGAGCAAGAAGATGCAAAGGTTGAAGGAGGGGGAGGAGAAAAGGGAGGTGGTGGCTCCTCGTTAGCAGAGGGTACGTTTTTAGTTATTAAACTGATCTTTATCTATTTCACACTAATCGTTCATGTCTGTTGCCTTTCAGCTCTGGCGGAGGCAGATCTGGAGGAGATGGCGATGCACGAGACCGAAGACAACAAAACGTTCCAGCAATTTAAAAAGAAGACCTCCTCTGAGCCTCATCAGGTACCAACACAATTCAGAGGACAGAACGTTCAGTTTTCCTCTGTGACCACCTGATGATGATTTGTCTCAAACAGGTGATACGTTACAGTCGAGGAGGACGTCCACTCTGGGTCTCCTCTCAACACGTCCCTTCAGACGAGGATATCTCACCATGCACCTGTGGCGCCAAGAGGATTTTTGAATTTCAGGTCTTCGTGTAGTGACTGATGACAGGAATTAGCTGATTTTCTGCTGACTAAATCTAAAACTCCGAAATCGGTTTGTTTTGTTTTTTTTAACGATGATGTTTGTGTCTGCAGGTGATGCCTCAGCTGTTAAACAGTCTGTCTGTGGACTCGACCGGAGCGAGCATCGACTGGGGAACTCTGGCCATCTACACCTGCACTGACAGCTGTAACCACGACGACCGGTACTACCGGGAGTTCATCTGGAAGCAGGACTTCACCTCAGATCAGAACGCAGATTAAAAACCCATAACGGAACTTTTTTTTTAGCTTTGGCTTCCAGGTGCCGATCTAGCCTCATGTGAGTCTCCTGAACTGAGACATCATCAAAAAAAAAAGAATCTCTGCTTTTCCTGTTCCTATGCAATGTCCACATCCCATCCTGCTACTGGCAACAGCTTCTTTTTCTTAACCTTACCTGTAAATTGAGTAATTTCTGAGGCAACACTGACAAAAAAATACTTTTTTCTTCATGATGGGTATGAAATTGTATTAGCCAGATTTCCTTTTGTAAGATAAATATTGTTTTGTTTAATAAACAAGTTTGAGTCTTTAAGTTTCAGATATTTGAGCAAAATATACATCAACAATTCAATATTTTAGAGTCTCTACGTTTAATTTTCTTCATGATGTGATTTGGTTGTTCTACTCAAAAGTTACACCTTTAAAACGTCAGACTTTTGCTGTGAAACGTTGCTACTGAGACAAAACAGCGTAGACTTGAGTCACGTACGATTTTATAATTGAACAGGGTGACACATTGATACTAATAATACCATCATCTGAGTCTGCTGAGGGCACAAATCAGATGGAATAAATGTTTATGTTTATGTATTTAGCAGACGCTTTTGTCCAAAGCGACTTGCAAGAAGATGATGACTGAAAATGTCACTAAAAATCAAACATTGACCTGGTTGACTGCAAAACGTCCAGCGGCTGCCACAACTGTGAACCCAAATCTTTTGAAAGACATTCAATAGACAGATTGTGTCAAATAAACTCCTAAATAAGTCAAAGTCTGAACTCTTCAAACATTTGTGTGTATTTTATGATGATTCATGATCTTTCCAATCACAGACTGCAGTAAATCCAGCTTCTGGCACATGGATAAACAGAGGACCCTGGATGACTTCATCTTTCTGCCTCCATCTGTTTTATTGTGTGTTGGTTGGAAATGCTTCAAACCTTCTCCATGTTTTTTCTCATGGTTTTGGCACTTTGTTTTATATGCATCATGAGCAGGGACGCCACCAAAGGGTGGCCAGCAGTGGCGGACAGGTAATCTGTGAGTTCTGGGCTGTTGTCTGCGTGGTCTGCTTTTTGCAGACGATGTGGCCCTGTTGGCGATGTCAGGAAATGAACTCCAGCTTTCACTGGAACAATTTACAGCCGAGTGAAGCGGCTGGAATAGGAATCAGCTCCTCTAAATCCGAGACCATTGTCTTGAGTCAGATATGTGTAGAATGTTTTATCCAGGTCAGAGATGAGGTCCTGCCACAAGTGGAGGAGTTTAAGTATCCCGGGGTCTTGTCCATGAGTGAGGGAATAATGGAGTGGGAGATCGACAGGTGGATTGGTGCTGCGTCTGCAGTGACGTGGGCGTTGTACTGATCTGTTGAGGTGGAGAGAGAGTTTAGCCGGAAGATGAGTTACCGGTCGATCTACCCTCACCTATAGTGACGAGCTTTGGGTAGTGACCGAAAGAATGAGATTGTGAATACAAGTGGTCAAATTTGTTTTCTCCAGGGTGGCTGGGCTCTCCCTTAGAGATAGGGTGAGAAGCTCAGTCATCCAGGAGGAGCTCAGAGTAGACCCGCTGCTCCTCCACATCGAGAGGAGCCATTTGAATTGGCTCAAGCATCTGGTCAGGATGTTTCCTGGACACCTCCCTGGTGAGGTGTTTCAGGCACGTTGAACGAGGAAGAGACCTAAAGGAAGACCCAGGACACTGGAGGGACTATGTCTCTCGTCTGCCCTGGGAACACCTTGAGATTACCCAGGAGGAGCTGTCCCAAGTGGCTGGGGAGAGGGAAGTCAGGGCCTCTACTTAGCCTCTTGATCCCCCGCAACCCGACTGGATAAGCGGCTGAAAATGGCTGGATGGATCCTCATTGGTCTTGTACATTGTATGTTGGTTTTAGTCACAAATCAATCAGCTGATCACAGATGCAGCGAGTCACTGCTGTCTGCAGTAAAGTAAAGTCACTGACACAACCATCACTGTCAATAAAGGTCCACATGAGTTTGATCCAGTTGCTTCATCCATGATCTCACACATTAAATACATTAAATACAAGAGTCAATTAGTGATAAAATGTTGGGCTTTATTTGTCTTTAAGTCAAATTTGAAAACATGGTCTTCATTTTTCAATTATTATAGAAAGCCCAGGCTTTTCCCCCCTTGCATGACCGACCTGGGGCTCTTAAGAGGATAATCCTGCATTGTTACTTTGCCCCTTGTGCGTAAGCTCATAAAGAGAAGCCTAATCCTCCCAGGTATGTGTCTACAAAGAGCCCAAAGGCAAACATGAACCTCTGCTCTTTTGATTTTTATGTTTTCATCAACAAATAGTTGGAAAAGGGGGTTTACAATTCCACAAATTATTTACAAGGATCTCAAATACCTATAACTGGTTATTCAATTCAGAAATACTTTATTAATCCCAGAGGAAAATTGATTGCTGTAGCAGCTCAGAATAATAATAATAATCAAGTCATCAAAGAGTTGTTGTATATTACAAAGGCTGTTGGCAGGAAGGATCTCCAGTAGCGGTCAGTGTTGCAGCCAAACTGAAGAAGCCTCTGACTGAAGACACTCTTCCGTTGTCGGACAGTCTTGTGAAGAGAATGCTCAGGGTTGTCCATAATTTTCTTGATTCTCTGGAGAATCCTTCTTTGCATTATCTCCTCCAGTGGTTCCACGGTCGTCCCCAGAACAGAACCAGCCTTTTTTATTAGGCTGTTGAGCCTTTTCAGGTCCCTGCTTCTGATGCCACTACCCCAACAGACGAAGGCTGAAGAGATTACACTCTCAACAACAGACTTGTAGAAGATCTGCAGCATCTTATATCTAAATTGGTCTTTTTTTATGTATTCATAAGTTGAATGGCATCTATGCACATCTAACAAAAAACCCTTTGATTAGCCCTGGTGCTGCTGTGCCAATTATCATCGATTGCAGCAGCAACTGTTAAGCGTGCTGAATGAATCAGCTCACAAATTGATTTGGTAAAGCTTCAGAACATCCGGCATGCGTCCTCTGTCACATGTTGCTGTGCTGTAGCAGCAGAATGACCATGAAGTGATCAGCAACTTATTACAAAGTAATGAAAAGTTAGAGAAAGTGACAAGAAAGTCAAATGCAGATCAAATGTAGATTGTAAAGAAATTTTGTCCTTCAAAATTAAAACTCAGAATCACAAATTTTAATTTAAATTCAATTTTCTTAGATGATGAATTTAAATGGATAAAATATAATGCAAGAAGCCAGAGTGTCCAGCTGCTGCAGCTGTTTTTTTCTCATGCAGAAACAAACCAAATTTACAGCCACTAGTTTTTTTAAAGTGTCCACGCATTAAATGCAGTATTTTCAAACACAGCTTAATGTAATTTAATATGAAGTAAACCAAATGTGATCCTTCACTGTTTTCTTACAGCTTTATGACTTCTACGGTAGTTTCTGATAGAAACACTCAGTCTTGAAATTTCCACATTTTTAAGTAATTTTATGTTTCAGAGTCATACAAATGTACAAAGTCTTTGCCATTTACATAAAGAAACGTTATTATTATATTATTTTTAATTATTAAATGTTTTAGGATAGTTTATCCCAAAATGGGGACTTGTGGGTTCTTGTGGGTTGTGAAATATCAGGTAAAAGGTAACGAGAAGGTGTAAAAGTCGTCCAATTATCTTTTAAAAAATAACAAACATATTTCATATATAGTTAGACAAAAAAATCTAAACTACAAAACTCGGGGTTATGAGTCCGCAGCTTTTATATAGGAATTGAGAAATACTAGTTTAGATCATTTGCACGTCAGTTTTTATTAAAATATGTCAAGGTATAAAAAAACTGTGTCTTAAAATCGTTATTTTTAATGTAACAGTAAAACAAACAAAGCTCCAGCTCCACATTTTTTTATTTTTAGTTTTTAAAGGCAGACTAGGTAGTTTTGGCTTGCTAGTGTCCGTTTGTAAAACCAAGAGCAAAATGTATCTCCTCGCTGTGTGTTCCTCTCTAACACCTAAATCTAACAGCTGAAATGTCTCCCCAGCCTTCCTTAGAGTCTACAGGAGTGATTCATCACTAAATTAATCAAATCAGCTGTGTTCACGATCTAAATCATGCAGGAAATGTGCTGGAAGCAGACAGCAATGCCAGGTATGTCAGCTCACTTTTTTCTTAGTCCACCAGACCAGACCGGTGTCGGTACAGGATCTGCTCGGGTGCAAGATCGGCAAGATCGGCTCGGGGTCCTTCGACTGCCGATGACGTCAAAGTACGGCAACCCCCCTCGGACAAAATACACTACTCATCTATACTGTTGGAAAAAAATTAGCAGTTTCGTTATTAAAATAATGTTTCTTAAGACGTAAGTTTGTGTTTATAATGGTATTTGTAAAACAAAACACTATATTTTATTCATAATGTTGAACTCCTCTTTGAGCACATCCCTTGAAGGATCATAGGTATTAGCAACACCTGTGAAATTGTATTTGCAGGAAAGAAGTGTGTCCCGTTTATTGAAGTATTTTGTGTTTAGAGTTTTTGACGTCTTGTCCATGCGTAGTTCAGTTACGCTCATAGCTGCTAGCCAAAACTCTGGAGTTAAAAGTTTTCTGGCTTTACTAAAATACCTGTCTGTACTTATTTGATTGATGGTAGTTTTACTTTCTATTAGACTCCAAATGTAATCATTTGGCACGTTTCTAGTTCATAATTTGTAAGAATGTAATCGGTGATATTAGCATTAGCATTCCTATGGGTTTTTCCCGTACAGTCTATGGTTTTTCCACGTATATTAGCATTGCGCTAACCACTCGCTGCCAAATTGCAGCCTTTGCAATTAGAAAATCTCCTTTTGTCACATCGCAATTTAATTGCACATGCAGTTAATCGTTCAGCCCTAATATACGCTAAAAGTGTATTTTCAAAGAGGTAATGATGGATTTCTTTGTAAAAGTTGTCCATCTATCCAACAGAAAAATTTGCCTGGACCAACGTAACGTGTTTCTGTAATTCCGTAAGGTTCATGTTCAGCCAATCAACTACTTTGACGTGATCGGCAGTCGACGGACCCCGAGCCGATCTTGCACCCGAGCAGATCTTGCACCGACACCTGCACTCTGAAGTTGCAAATGTGGTATTCAGGCCACAGAGGGCGATGGGGGTCTGAGTGACATTTCATTAACCATGTAAAGGGTCATTTTAACACATACTGGCTCAAGAAAATTATTTAAAATTAAAAAAAAATCACAAAGTATCCCTTTAATCCATGTTTGATCTCACTCATCATGTGTTCACTTTCACAGACTGAACAGAAGAGGGCAGCATAAATCCTGCAGGGAGACTTGCATCAACGCAGTAATGACAAAACATTTTTACAATTAAAGTCTACAGAATAAAACAGACATCATAATAAAACTTTCTCAAAAAAGAAAACACATCTAATAATTAGAAGCAAATGAATCAAATAAATTCCACTCATGCATTTAAAATATACAATCTTATTTTTTCCTTGACTGCATGTGTGACAGTAAAAATTAAAATCAGCTGGCATTCTAACACAGAGCTGCATGCAGTTTGATATTCACTGACATTTAGTGAACATTGCACATGTTACCATGGTGATGTGTTGCATGTGTGCACGGAGTGCAAGCACCAATCCTTGAAAAAAATGACACCTCTGACACAGGCCCAGTGTGGGGGCAGACAGTGTATTTTTTTTCCTCCTTTGTAACTTTTTTTTACAGAACGGAAGATCACGAACCACATCTACAGCCTCCCACACAATTTCTTTGCTTTATCTTCTGCCTTCAAAGGTCATCTGAAGATAAGAGGAGCAGCAAACCTGAGATAGACCAGGGTGGGTCTGGAGACATGGCTTCTACGCAGGAGAAAGTTTCTTCACTGCACGTGATGGCTGCACCGAAATTTGATTGTGTTCAAATGTACTGACGATTTTAAATATCTAAAACTGTGGTAATGATTTTGTTCTTAAATAATAACAAAAAACGATTTGTATGCATAAAAACTAGTGCTTATATTCCATTCTTTCACTTTAAAAACCAAATAATTTAGAATTATTTGAAAGTTTTTACTTTAGGCACTTCTAAATAAATATTTTATGTTTTAATCCAGCTATTATTTATTATAACTAAAAATAAAACTGACAAAAATGTAAATATTTTTTCACTGATTTGTTTTTAATTCATTCAGTGAACTCCGAGACAAACATAATCCAACCCTCCAATGTTAATTAATTGTGAATTCTCACAATTACAATGTAATTTCTAATGTATTGTCACCATAAAGGCCCTTTCAAATACATTGCAGACGTGTGCATTATTTTGTAAATTAAATAATCACTAAAAAGTTTAGCATTTTCTGCAATAGCACAATACCAATAAAAGCTTTGTAGAAAAAGCTCTGAGCGTCTGTCTTCCAACGCGAGAGGGAACTTGCTGCTGATCCAGCTCTGAGGGAGCAGACATGGACAGATGCTTGCAGGAAAAGCACTGCTTCACAAAACGGCTTGTAAGCTAAAAAAAAAAGTTAAGATTTGTGCTTTTGCTTGGAAATAAAGACCACAGGAAATGTGATATCGATGCTTTCAGCTGCATTTGAGAGCTGAGCGCTTGTCTGAACGCCCACATGCATCTAGTATAAGTAAGTAGTGTGTTTGTGTCAGAGAAATAAGAGGGCGTCGGCTTGCAGAACCTTTAAGGAAAAGGCTGAAAAGCCACCCAGCCAACATGTTTCTTCAGAACAGTAGACATGTTTTGTTTTAGGATTGCAACTGTACATTTTAGGCTTAAAACTTTTAAAGTTCACATTGAGTTGCACACAGATCATATATTTGAGTGTTTATTGCACTGCAGGTTGATCATAAACACAGAGAATCTGATTGATCTGTGATGGATGAAATGAACAGCAGCCATGATGCAACATTAAAACGTGTTTTACTACGTTGTTTATCAGTATTGCAAAAACCTTTGGTGAAACATTAAAAACATGTTTGATAAATACCGACCTTGATTAATATGTGTGCGAGAAATGCAGGTGCAGACATGAGATGTTTCATTGGTATTTGACGCCGGTGTTGCAGGGTAACTGAGGTTGTTTGTTGAAAGTGCTAATAGGTGTTTGTGGTATTTATCTGAACTGCAAGCAGGAATTAGCTGGTCAGTGAGTATCTGTGCATTGCCTTACAATGAGATTTTTGCATTTTCAATTCAGTAGTTAAGGTAAGTGAGGCCCAGCCTTTCAGCTTCTGATCCACAAAATCCTGTAAACGTCTCAAATATTGCCTTAAAGCTAAATGAATAGGAACATGTTGTGGATGCAGTTTCAACTCATATTGAAGTGGTTTTTATTTATGTCTATTTTATTTTGTGACGATGATAATGAAAAAAAACTGTATTATGAATTACTATTGACCCCAACTTTAGAAACCATTCAGAATTAGGCTGATTATAAAATAAGAGCTTCAGTAGGTAAAAAGTGCGGCATATCATTATGTTTACCAAATCCTGGCTTGGATTAAAATCACACTAAGGGGGTAGGACAAGGTGCACTCCGATTTAATCATTGGGTGTGTGTTGGGGGGGGGGGGGGGGGGGATCAGAACAGAAATTGGATGGGGGGTTTTACATACATCCACAAATATGAGTGTGTTCTGGTTTCCTAAAATCATAATACGAAGTAAAGGGGACATATGATACAAAACTCACTTTTTGCGTCCTTCTGTGCAGCCACGTGGGTCTCGACAACACCCCAAATGTGAATAAAAACATCACTTTGTTTTCTGCCAGTGCTTGGTTTCAGAAGTTACATGACTGAAATGAGCTGTTTTAAAAAAGTCCCATGTTGTGATGTCACAATAAGGAAAGGAAGCATGGACCCCTCATTCACCCCCTCACCTCTCCACAGTGGAGATGCAATGAATCACTCCCGACCCTACCTTGGTGTATGTCCTGTCACGTGGTGACTGTGATAGTGTTTTTTATTATTTAAAAAAAAAAACTCCAAACAAACAAAAAAGAAAACAAATATACAAATGAAAAAAGTCTTACAACACAACCTCTTTATTTATTTTTTTACCATCAGATTTTAAAGAGCAAGTCACCTCCTACCAGAGTCTTACACCACTCACACTTCCTGTTTGAAAAATGCAACAAATACTGTTGCCTGGCAGACCGAGAGGGCGGAGTCGCAAACAAACACACACACACACACACACACACACACACACACACACACACACACACACACACACACACACACACACACACACACACACACACACAGGCTCTTAATGACATTGTGACATCATAATGTACCAGCTAACGTTATAGTGCACCTTTTAGCCAAAAGCGATGACAGATTTTAATTCAAATGCAATGCAGACGTTTTACGTGAAGAGGGTGCAACACTGAAAGTTTTGGGGCAGAATATTTAAATTTTAACTAAGATGCAGTAAAGTAACAAATTATTGACTACAGATGTCTACAGCACAATTAGACACACAATTATGTAGTTTATCAGCAAAAAAAGTTAATTTGGGAGTGAATTGCTCTTTAAATAAAATTAATCCTCTACTGCTTCATCTGCCATTATTACAAGAACAAAACTCTCTGTTTGGCCCACAATAAATAGCCTTTACTAATGAGGATGCAATTTAGGGGAAATGAGGATGCAGTTAGAGTATGTTTATAATTAGCAAATCCTTTTTGCTTTGCAGTGATGTAATTTGCCTTAGAGTCTACTCTGAAGTATGTAGCCCCGGCATTTAGGCATAGCCTTTATCAGCCAATCAGAAGATGAGTGGGCGTGGTCAGCAACATCAAGTTTTCTTTGACATAGCCCTGAAAGGGCTCATTTTGGATAGTACTGAAAATGTCAAGAATAAAGCTGCTGATATCACTTTTTATGAGACCAAATGTAATTGTTTAGGTGTCATGTTTTTTTCAGACAGTGAAATGTCTTCTTTAATTGAAAATACTACTGAAAATATTCACAAAATGCTATATTTTGTCTGTTTTTGTGACCGTAACTGTTTCTGTAATTGTTTCTTAACCGAATGGCTGATGGAGTGCGTGCGTGTGTGCGTGGCCCGTGTTGTTGTGTGGGTTGACGTCACCGCTGGAACTGCCCTGTCACGCGGGGGTTAGTAAAAGTTGGGATAGAATCTCCAGGCGGGGAGAGAGAGAGTGAGAGACGGGAGGAGGAGGCAGAGCCAGCGGGACAACCACAAGGGCAGCTCAGCGCCTTCAGTAGCGAACATTTAACTCAAGGAAACACGTTTGTTCTTCATATTTGTTCGGGAGTCGAAGACGGGAAGGCAGTGAAACAAGGAAAAGCTTATTTTCTGAAGTTCAAGCCGAAATTTGACTCGTAAAGTGCCACACGGAGAGGAAGAGGAGAAGCCTGCGACCGTTTTGTGTTTTGGATTTGACTTGACAAGGAGCTGTTGGAGAAAAAACAATAAACAAACAGAGCAAAACTCACAGAAAGCTCACGAATTGAACTTTGGCGCTTTGGCAAGTTAGTTGATAAATGTTGTGACATTTAAGGACGGCGTAAAAATTGCTCCAGCGGTCGACGGTCTTGTGGCGGGGTGAAAAAAAAAAACCCGAGCTGTCAAACCCGATGACTACTGCAAACTGCCCCGGGAATGAGGACCTGGACTTCAGACTGATATTCGGAGAGGACGTGCAGCAGCCGCCGCTAGACACTGCAGGTCAGTGCGTTTAATAGTTGGCGTAAAAAATAAGGCGCAACATGTTGTAACCTAACTCATCTGCTAGCCCACTGTTGTGTTAACTTTGCGCGGGCAGCTTAAGCCCCCATGTCAGAAAAGGACAGCACGACTCACAAGTGCTTAATAAAGTCAAATTACATTTAATAGAAATATTCGCCTATTTCGTCTTTTTTCATTGAAACGTCTGTTCAGTCTACCTCTCATTAGCTTGGCATGCTAAGTTAGTAGATTAGCATCTCGGTGGCAAAAGTTAGTCTTTATCTGTTTTAGTTGTGTTAGCTTCAGGGTGAGGATGAAGGAGGACTTCAGTATTTAGAACTTGTGCACCCATTTTCTATTAAATATTGATATATTCTTATTTCCAGTCAGTCTAAAATATTTGCATGTTTTGTTTTAGAAAATATCCATAAACAGCACTAGCACGTGTTTTCAATGTGGAGAAATATTCAAACAAGAGCCGAAATTCTATTAATACACAGACGCTAAAATCCACTTTTTTTAGTTGATTAAATTAATAGTTGGCAATGATGAATGTGTTTCCTCCCCAAAAAGCAGACCAGATATGTGTTGACACAGCAGGAATATCACATTAGAGAAGTTTACACACTGTGGAGTTAATGTTTGAAAACAAATCCTTATTGCATTTAGTTTCATTATATTTTGGTTTGTTCACCTGTTGGCAGCTGTTAACATCTGACCTGCTTTGCACCACCACCAGGAGGGTTTTAGTTTTGTGCAGCTTGAATGTGACTGATGCAAGTTTTCTGCAAAGTAACGCAGGCTTATGTTGTCAAAACCTTTATTGTGTTATTTACAAAATAAGTCAAAGCAATAACAGAATTGCTGTTGTAGTGTTTTAAAAACAACCACAAGTCAATTACTTAACAGCAAACATGGCCTTTGCTCTATAAAAGAATTTCTTCTAAAAGTGAGATTGATTTATTTTAACCTAGTTTATAAAATGAGTTATGTGAGCAAATTGTTCTGCATGCTGTTTATGTTTAGGAGCTTGCAAAATGACTTCTGTATCTTTGCAAACTTACATTTTTTAACTGAAATTAAGCAGCTTTGATTGAAGCATTTAGCAGAAAAAACAAATCTAATTCCAGCTGGATAAAAACTATTTAGATATTTTGAGTTTTGTAAAATGTGTGTTTCACCAAAGAAAACCTCGAATGCTGCAGGATGAGGTGAGCTAGCTCACAGTAACAAATCACAGGAAGAACTTTATTGTGTTTTTTAGCCTCTCTACTCATTTGGGTTTTTCACACAGTTTTTAATTAGCATAATGTAACTTCTTGGTCAGCCTCTGGATGTAAAAAAAATACACAGCTCACAATAATAATTCTAAAATTCTTAAAGGTGAGCTTATCAAAAGTGTAAAGCGACAATGTGTATTTTTTTTACCTTTAATCTATGGAAATATCCATTGAAATGTATTTGAAAAAGAATAAAATGATATTGTTAAAACATTGGCGGCTTTGTCACATATAACCCTAAAAATTGGGTCTAAAGAACATAGGGCACGGGTCTAGCGTCCATGTTTCCTTCTGGCCGGCTCAGGGTCCTACGCCTGTTGATGGCGTCACACTAGATGATTGTCTGGACATACAAAATTATGATGGTACCCTGTTCAAAAACATTTAGGTAGAAAAACATGATTTTACTAGCAAAACTGGTAAACTCTTTCTAAAACATATGTGACAAAACAGAATAAAAAACGAGGTGCAATATTTTGGCCAAGTGGTTTTGCTGTAGTATGATGACGTCATTGGCAGGCGCAGGACCCTGAGCAGATCCGGAAACTACAGTGTCAGAAAACTACAATTGGCATTGCATTCTCCTGATGGTATTACCTGAAGGACCATCAGAGTCTGAGGTTTCACATCGGGGTTGCATGCTTTTTGCTCCACAGGTAACATTTACTGTAATGTTTTATTAAACTAGCGACAGTGACGGCGATTTGTTGTAAAACAACCCTGAAATGTACGTACTGCCCCCTATCGCCAGCAACTACTCACTGCCAATTTAATACAATAATAATCGTGTATGCTGCTGCGGCAATCCATTGCCAATACTTAAAAACTTTATAATTTATTTTGTATATGTCCATGGTTTCTGCTTTGTTTCTGATGCAGGTTTTGCATTTTAAGCATCTTGTGTGCCATTTTAAAAAAAGACACTAAATGGTACGGCAGTGCTTGGTTCGACTGCTGCTCATCAAGAGTACTATAGGCAAGCGTTGTGTGACAGTTTCCTTTTTAAAGTCACACATCCATTCTGTTTTGTGACAACTTGGGACTGCCAGCTGAGGGGCAGGTCAACTTTGACCCTCATTCCACATCCATACCTTAACAAACAAGATGGACAGGGACAATGAAGGCATAACGGTCCCGCCTAAACATGCAGTAGACATTTATCATGATATAAGGCTGTTTCAATTGTAAAATTGGGTAAAAATCTATGTAAATGCTGTACCTTTTAAAATAAGTGCTCAAAAAAAGTTTGAAACTAAGAAAATAAAGTAAAAAAAAAAAGCTTTAGTTCTCACTGGGCAACTTTATTAGGTACTTGGTAAAAGACTGTAGTAATTGTGTTTTAGTGTAGCAGTAGATGAAGTGGGTTATGTTGGTTTGCTGTTATCTTGCGTACAATGTGCGACTTTTTCACTCGTAGCACTCAGCTTCAGCTCAAACTGTACGACTTCCTCGCAGGGCAGATCTCACGAGTCATGTGCTCACACTGCACGACCCAGTTCTCGGATGCGATCTGACTGCTCAGACTGTACGTCTGGTAGCAACACGTCAGCCCTAAAAATATGCTAAAAATAGCAGTTTTTACACAACACGTCAGACTTTTTTGTCTTGTTTTGCCTGTTGTCCTTCGGGAGTGCTGCAGGAAGACACACAGGGATTTATGGGGGTTGGATTAGGAAAACGAAATAAAGAAAGTAAATCTGTGTTTTGTGATCAATTTAATTTGACATGAACACAACAAACACGCTTTCTTGACAATTTTGTG